CAGCACACAGTCTATAGTTCCATATTTACTAAGTTTTGTATGAAACACGTCTTCGTGTAGACCACTTATCACCGGCCAGCGTAATATGATTTTGGAGAAATACGTTTAAAGTAACCAAAATCGCGTCTCTTTCAACCTACAACTGAACAAACCATCAATATTTTAAAACAAATTGGTGTTTTGTGACACGTTGATATTGTAACCATAATTTAGCCGGTTGAAAAGATGGTGAAAATAGGTCTAAGACGTTCAGACCCCATTTCAATGCGTTTTCAACCAGATATCAACGTTGAAATCCGGGTTAGTGCTCACTGGGGTTGATTAAACGTTCATGCTTAGACCAGATTTCAACATGATTTGCAATACTACAATTTTCCGTCCTCTACATTGTGCTAATAATAATATATCATCATTTTAGAGGCTTACTAAGAAACCACATCCACATTTATCTTTATTAAGCACAATATAAATATAAACAATGTACTTTATATAAAACCATAATCTCCTTTTCCTTCTTTAAATGTCGTTTTCAAAGCCACACAGGAGCCGGTTTCAGGAGATCTGCCATATTTTTTACGTGGAGATCTGTAAATAAAACAAGTATTAAAAAACATATTCACTTTTAGACCAGTTTTGAACCTCTTTGGAGAAATACGTTTAAAGTAACCAAAATCGCGTCTCTTTCAACCTACAACTGAACAAACCATCAATATTTTAAAACAAATTGGTGTTTTGTGACACGTTGATATTGTAACCGTAATTTAGCCGGTTGACAAGACGGTGAAAATAGGTCTAAGACGTTCAGACCCCATTTCAACGCGTTGTCAACCAGAAATCAACGTTGAAATCCTTTTCACCGGAGACCATAGACATCTTTTAAACATGTTTTCAACGGAACGATGCTGACCTGGATATTACACAGTATATTGTTTATATTGTCTATATTGCCATAAGCCAAACAACAATGTTTTGACCGTGTTCTTATTAGACATTATTTTGTTTTACTCACGTCCTCCACATTTAAACTGTGTACAGCCCCACTCGCTGTCCGTCGTGTATTTTACATGTGAAATGTCCTAAATACTCTATTTTATAACGTTGGGCTACAGGGACAGTCCACAAAGAAAGTGTCTCCAACATTAACTAACACACATGTCTATGTTTAGCTACTGTTCGTAAAATGCTAACGCTACATGCTAACACTACAAGCTAGCAGCCTTGCCCGCATGGTGAGCATAACATATTAGTGGTATGTAGGGGTGCAACGGATCACAAACCTCACGGTTCGGTTCGGATCACGGTTCTTGAGTCACGGTTCGGATCAACAAAGAAAAGGGGAGGAGACAAATATAACTTTGCTTTCCATTTATTAAAGATCTTCAACAACACTTAAAGAAAAGAACTATGGTCTATAGCCTTACATAAAAACAAAAAATATTGAAGATGTCCAATTTGAAACAAAATGAAATAAAAATATAACATTCAAGAACATTCAATTCTGTTAAGTTTAAGTGCAACATGAGGTATGTTGATATCCTCGTCCTTTGATCAATACTGAAAGAAAGAAACAGCCAGTGAGCTAGCTTCTACTGTTTCAACTGAACTGAACTGCTAGGCAACAACTTAGGTCTATGTTTACTTCCTGTCAGGTTATGTCATTCAAATACACAATAATGTTTACCATTATTTTCAAAAAGATGAGAATATCTACATTGCCTGGGGAGAGGGTAGACCTTTCTGTAGTGATATTACTATTGGGCCGGTCTAGCTTCCACTCTGATACTTCTGTCAGCACCTGCCCCAGGTCTGTGTCTGTGTGACTCTCACAGAGGGGGCGTGTCTGCAGCACCAGACTATGAATCTCCACTCCACCGTGATGAAAGCGGTCACAGTCTTTTCCTTCTCATAGAGGCCTGGAACAGCTTCACACTGAAGTGGGTGCGTGAGTGGATTTGGTATCGTGGCTCAAGCATTTTAACCAGATTTTGAAATCCTTCGTTTTCCACACCGGAGTGTCCCCCGTCGCTAACAGACGGGATGGTGGCTCTTCATATGTGTGGACATGCCGATGTATTGCCGTTATCGTATGTCTTTCTCTTTAAATAACGCCTACATACCGTAACGGTTTTGTCCACCACCCTTATCCGTCATTATAAATTACAGGGAAGACAAAATGCAAGTTCCTCCGCTCGCCATGACTTTCGCCGTTAAATGCTTTTAAGCTGCTCCGTTCACGTGAACACACTACTGCTTTATATCTGTTCACTGACACTCTGCATTAATATTCGGGGACTTGTTACTTGAAAAGGAACAGCAGCAGTAAAACTTTATTACACACTACGATAATTACACTGTAAAACAAAAAGAAAAAAAATACTCGATTGATCCACGGTTCACGAGTGATCCGAACCGTGAGGGGTGATCCGAACGGATCACGGATCGATCCGTGATCCGTTACACCACTAGTGGTATGGTAATGATATTTTGGTTTGCAATACTTGAATAAAGTAGTTCAAGCACTTACAGAGTATGTCGTTAGCGTGAAGCCTCGTTTATTCCGTCAGCTCGTTCACTTCGCTCATCAACTCAGTAAGAGCTAGCTAGCTCAAACCTGCCATCTTTCCATCCATCATCTAACTTAGAAAAATGCACAGAGTCCGTGCGCATGCGTGTTCCAGCAGTAAACACAGAGTCGTATTTTACGTGAATATACAGACAGAATGTGCTCTGCTCTCATTACGATGTCCTGGGAGCTTCTTGTTGACAGCACACAGTCTATAGTTCCATATTTACGAAGTTTTATATGAAACATTAAATGCGTTGAAATCACGACTTCGTGTAGACCACTTATCACCGGCCAGCGTAATATGATTTTGCAGAAATACATTTAAAGTAACCAAAATCGCGTCTCTTTCAACCTACAACTGAACAAACCATCAATATTTTAAAACAAATTGGTGTTTTGTGACACGTTGATATTGTAACCATAATTTAGCCAGTTGAAAAGACGGTCAAAATAGGTCTAAGACGGTCAGACCCCATTTCAACGCGTTTTCAACCAGAAGTCAACGTTGAAATCCGGGTTAGTGCTCACTGGGGTTGATTAAACATTCACGCTTAGACCAGATTTCAATGTGATTTGCAATACTACAATTTTCCGTCCTCTACATTGTTTTAATAATAATATATCATCATTTTAGAGGCTTACTAATAAATCACATTTACATTCATCAGTTGAAAGCCAGTATTGGAAATCACGTTGAAATCTGGTCTAAACGTGAACGTTGAATCAACGTCTTCAAATAGTCAGCTAAAAAACTTTCACTTTTCAACGTGTTTTTAACGTCAAAATGCTCTCAGATCAATATGTAGCAACTAAATACTTAATCATAGTAACACATCATCAGTTTCCACTTACAGGACAAAAGACCAAGTGACACAGGCAACAGTTCATTTGTATTTATTAAGCACAATATAAACAAAACAATGTTCTTTATATAAAACCATAATCTCTTTTTCCTTCTTTAAAAGTCGTTTTCAAAGCCACAGGAGCCGGTTTCAGGAGATCTGCCATATTTTCAAGCTGGACATATTAAAAAACATATTCACTGTTAGACCAGTTTTGAACATCTCTTCACCAGAGACCATAGACGTGTATTTTAAATGTGTTTTCAAGGCGTTATTATCGCGTTAACGCATTCATTAATTAACTCCGACAATTATTTTATAGCGCGTTAACGCATTTCTTTCCTAATGATTGACCAACACACTAGTAGTACGACTTCTCTAAAAAACACTTTAGGTTTAACACTTTGTATACAGTTATACATTAGAAAATCACATATTTCTCTCCGTTTTTCAGCTTGTCGTACAACTAGATGCCGTTTTAACTTCTTTTGTGCAGAAAACACCAACTATGGATGAAAATTGAGAAATTGAAAAACGCACCTGGTGTGTAAAAACGTGGGGGAGACGCATAAAACCGAACCTCGAAGCGCCTCCCTCCTGGTCTCTTTCTTGTTAAGATCTGTGTTGACCAGGTTATCTTTGACAAAAGATACACACAAAAGACGACTACATTTACAGAGATAAAAGTTCCTCATACTCACAATATCACAGTTATGCTTAATTTTTAACAGTGTGATCTGTGAAAAAGACAGTTGAGTGTATTACTATGGGATCAGAATAGTGGAAGTCAAATATCACACAGATAACTAATGACTAAACAAACCCTGACGTCTGTTCCCCAGTTGTCCCTGGCACCTCGTAGAGTCCCACAAATACCTCATGTGGCACAAGTTCTTTGTCCACATACCTTAGGCATATGGAGACTTGTTCTTTACCCTGGCCGGCGATGTTTGTGATATTCTGTGTAATTTTAGGCTTTTATACATAGCATGAAAGTCATTGATTTATTATTAAATTGTTTTTATATATTTTAAAATTTATTTTTCATATTACTATTATATATTTTATATTACATATAATATATTCTGTATATATATATATATATATATAAACGTCAAATTTCTAAAAAAAAAAAATTACACATGGTAGATAACAAATAAATAAATAATAATGATAAATTAATATAAATAAATAAAATAAAAGGAATGATTTGAAAATACTATACACTGTACATCCACCACATATACGTATATCCATCTGTATGTCTACTTTTCTCCTTTATCCTTATATATATATATTAGTGCTGGGCAAGTTAACGCGTTATCGCGTTAACGCATTCATTAATTAACGCCGACAATTATTTTATAGCGCGTTAACGCATTTTTTTCCCAAATGATTGACCAACACACTATACCAGTAGTATGACTTCTCTAAAAAACACTTTAGGTTTAACACTTTGTATACAGTTATACATCAGAAAATCACATGTTTCTCTCCGTTTTTCAGCTTGTCGTACAACTAGATGCAGTTTTAACTTCTTTTGCGCATAAAACACCAACTATGGATGAAAATTGAGAAATTGAAAAACGCACCTGGTGTGTGAGTCTCAGAGTCAACAGCGGCAGAGAATCCGCAACAAAGTGGAACTCATCTGGCTTGATGCTCTTGCAGCAGTTGGCTACGATGAGCAAAGCATCCCTCTGAGCCTTGATCCTGAAGTTCTCCAGGTAGAGGAGGCAGTCAGCGAGCCCACCCTGCAGGGGAAGAAATAACACGATGGCTGTATATAATTGTGGCTGTTGGGATGTTTTCAGATGGGATGTTTTCAGAGTGTGAAAAAAATCACTTACAGCCTGCAAAATTACTTTTCTGTGTTGCCCTGAAAGCATCTTTAGGGCAATCAGGGCCTGCTCTGCTACGACAATAAACTGGATCACCCGAAGCTGCACAGAAGAAGGTGAAACAAGGCATTAGCATGTCAAAAAAAGCCACCGTTGCGAATTAACAAGCGATAAGGGACAGACGGAGTGCACAGTGTCTCACCTGCTCCAGGAAGACAGGAATAGCATCGACTACCACAGCAGAGGATTGAGGGAGCGCGACCATCATGTACGTGAGTGCACAAGAGGGCACCACACTATTGACCGGGAATCCATAGAGTGTTTCCTCGTTGCCACTCTTCAGCAGCTGGCACATCTCATCGGCAGCTTGGAGCTGCTGAGACTCGTCACCTGTGGCCTGCGGGCCCTGCAGTAACTGCTGAGCATTGGAGCCTGTGGACAGCGGGGCAGAACGTTTCATCGGTTATTTACCAAATGTTAGGAACACCGATTTCAAGAGTACATCCGGGGTCCCAGGGGCCCAAAAAGATGAGGGGGGAGACCCTTGGCCTCCAGTAGGGCTATAGAGACAAAAACAGCAAAGTTTAGAGAGCAACTATACAAAAGCCAAAGCATTAAAGATCAGGAATACTCACTTTCTAGTATAGCTTGTAATCCTGATGGCCCATGATTGGAGGTCTCAGTCTTGGGGCCTGTGGTGGAGGAAGAGGAAGAGGTGGAGGCAGAGGAGGAAGAGTCCGTCACATTGTCTCTGGGCGGTGGGAGCGATTTGGGCTTCTTGGCAGGGGTCAGTGCAACGGTGGTAATTTGACCGGGAGCCTCGCTACGCTTAAGCCCACGGGCGCCTTCACTCTTTGACTGGTGGCCGGGTCTGAAAAAAAGAGCCTTGATGAGAAAACCCTAACTAATGTTCCCCACAAACCATGATAACAGCCTCTTATTTGAATTGGATGTATAATGGGGGGGTGGGAAAAAGGGCAGAGGGATGGCAGGCGAGACTCCAATAAAAACTGACTGGGTGTTAATATTTTTCATTTAGCCTGTCGGGGTCTATAGTTCCCAGTCTGTGGATCCATTTCCTCTCCGCTGCCTGCCACTGCCTGCTGCTCTCCAGGCCCACACTTTGGAGACCATGTGAGCCATGGAGTTTATAATGTGCATATAGGAGGCTCGTGCCATTCCCACTATTGATCATATAAAAGTGCTGCTTGATTCTAAGATGCAGTTCATTCTTTGTCTCCCCCACGTATAGTTTGTGGCAGGCCCTGCACCTGAGAGCATAAACCACATTGGAAGCTGTGGGTGGCAGGGCCTGCCCCAAGTTAAAACCGAGTCTACTCTGGGGGTTAAAAACGTGGGGGAGACGTATAAAACCGATCTCCGAACCGCGAAGCGCCTCCCTCCTGGTCTCTTTCTTGTTAAGATCTGTGTKGACCAGGTTATCTTTGACAAAAGATACACACAAAAGAYGACTACATTTACAGAGATAAAAGTTCCTCATACTCACAATATCACAGTTATGCTTAATTTTTAACAGTGTGATCTGTGAAAAAGACAGTTGAGTGTATTACTATGGGATCAGAATAGTGGAAGTCAAATATCACACAGATAACTAATGACTAAACAAACCCTGACGTCTGTTCCCCAGTTGTCCCTGGCACCTCGTAGAGTCCCACAAATACCTCATGTGGCACAAGTTCTTTGTCCACATACCTTAGGTTTATTTAGGATTATTATAATTTTATTTATTTTTATTTTTTGTGTGGCTCAAGGTGGAGCCAGGCCCCATGGCCCTCTATTGGCCAGCCGCCACTGGCCCAAAGAGTAAATACAGTTTGATATGAAAAACGGACCTATTTTGAAAACTTCAGATTTGTCCTTTAACATCATGAAAGCAACACAATAGAGTGGATCCGAATGAATAAAAGAGGACAAATGGGGAGAAACTATTATTTCCAATGCTTTTTATTTGTAAATGTTCCCCTTTTTGTGAACATAACATAAATTAGATATACTGTGTTGTTGTTTAATGACAATGAGAGCGTAGAACTCCAGAGTGGGGCCAAGACCTGTGCCGACCTGGAGGAAGATTAAAAGATTACGATCTCTTCTATAAAAAAAATAAAAGCATTTTATTGCACCAAAGTGCAAGTCATCATCCGGTTTTAACATAACAGATACCTCGTTCTCATATTGAATCTCCAACATTGCCATGGAGCTGCCCAGGTCCTGTAACACAGACTCCACCTCTTTGAGCAGCTTGTCGTGGTTTATCGTCCTCTGAACACAAGACAAGAGAGGAAAGACATTAAGTTTAAGAGCTGTCCTTAAAAACAAAAATAGGTACCATTTCAATAAGAAAAAGATCCCAACAATCATAAAAAGGCACAACGCAATTTTAATTCCATTTAGATACACAGTACAATAGATGGCTTCCAGTACAACTGTTCAATATAACACACAACATTGTACCTTCTCCCTGTGGAGACTTGCTGTAAGTCCGGTGCCCAGGAAAGCTGATGGTTTGAGCTCAGGGTTTGATTCCAGTATGTACTGCTTCGCTCTGTAGCGATTGAAGGCAGTTACGTACATAGAAAAACATCTGTCGGGTGTGAAAGGGGAAGAACGGACTACAACCAGAAATATTACATATCTTCATGTTACTTCCACAAACGCACAACAAAGTGACTACAAGTCACTGCCTTCCTCGTGTGATTCTTCAGGACAGAGACTTACATCGTACAAGTAGAACCAGTATCATAAACATAAAGGTGCTATGTTTACACTACACTGACTGTGGGTTGTCTAGTTGTCATCCTATACCCAGAAGTACTGTAAGCATTTCTGCGTTGAAAACACGTTTAAAATACGTTGACGTTGAAAACACGCTGACGTTGAAAACACATTTAAAATACGCTGACGTTGAAAACACAGCTAAAATACGCTGACGTTGAAAAAGTGGTTCAAAAATGAAAGTTTTTTCGCCGTCTATTTGAAGACGTTGATTAAACGTTCACGTTTATCCCAGATTTCAACGGGATTTGCAATATTGGCTTTCAACTGATAAATGTGGATGTGGTTTCTTAGTAAACCTGATTTTCAAAGTTCAAAGTTTCAAAGTTTGCTTTATTGTCATTTAAGATTTTACTGATCACTTTTAATGCACGTATGGGTCTGGTCCCAAGATATAAAGCAGAAATGTTGATCTCAAATGAGCTGGCTGGACTGGAGGCCTTAGATCCTCAGGTGGGGCCCACCTGGCTTTGGAACAACCTGCCTGAGTGTATAAGGCTTGCAGAATCAGTAATCTCCTTTAAATCACTTCTTAAAACCAATTTTTACAAACTGGCTTTCGTGTGATGTTGTCTTCTTATTGCTTTTATTTTGGTTTATTTCATTATTTTATTCTCGTTTGATTTGCTTTTCATTCTTTTTATGGCTTTCATTTTATTTTTCTTATTATTTGAATAATATGATTTTTTTTATTGTATTATCTATTGTACTGTTTTACCTCTGTTAAATTTGACCTTAGTTTGTCTTGTTTGTGTTTGGCTCACTGTTTGGCTTTCTGTTATATCACCGTGTGTACTGCTTTTGCTTTGCTTTGTCTGTCGAAGCACATTGTAAACTTTGTGAAGATATTATGAAAATAAAGTTATTATTATTAAATGTCTTCCAAGTGAAAGACTGTTTCGACTGCCATTGTGTGCATATCTTTGATATTCAACTTGTTATGAGTTGATAGACACCCAAAAAGATGGGAATATTGTTTCTTCCTAAAATATGATGAAATATAAAGATAAACAGTAGTCCCATGTGCCCAAAGAGTAAATACAGTTTGATATGAAAAACGGGCCTATTTTGAAAACTTCAGATTTGTCCTTTAACATCATGAAAGCAACACAATAGAGTGGATCCGAATGAATAAAAGAGGACAAATGGGGAGAAACTATTATTTCCAATGCTTTTTATTTGTAAATGTTCCCCTCAAAAGTTTCTCCTTCAATTTTTGTATGCTGGAATATTCAGGCAGCGACAAGTTATTAAAACAGGTCGTGACCGTTGGAAAGAACTCGCCAGGATCGTGTGTCGAATCGATTAATTTCTTCAGGATGGTCAGACGGGGTTTCAGGCTCCGGAAACCTGAGACACAAGAGCCAGATAACGGGCAATCCACTTATAAAAGGGCAATGCCAGATTCAGGTCCAGCTAGGAGAAGGAGCGAGAGGAGAGTGGTTTAGATAGTCAGTTCAAATGAAAACGTGCATGAAAATACAATGTTTTAAATGTTGAAAGATATATTAGGACCAATATTTGAAATAACAACAGTGTATTTGACTGCCAGCAGACACCTTGATGATGCCTGAAAGCTCTGACTGCAACAGATCTAAATAAGATTCATTTACTGCTGGATTTAAAGAACAGAAAATAGAGCTGCTTACCAATCTTAAGTCCATGATGGCTTTGGCCATCAGCATTCCTACGAAGCGGAACTTCATTTTGTCTCCTCGTGTGGTTGTCCTTCCGAAGGGAACAGGAAACAGTCCTTTGGAGTTGAACATGTACCCTGTTCCCTCTTGGTCTTCTGTTGGGGCAGAGACACAAGTATGGTCAGAATAAAATCACTATATACACACACTTATAAATGTGTATATAATGTTCAATTTAACACAAAACATTGTACCTTCTCACTGTGGAGATGTGCTTTGAGTCCAGGAAATCTGATGTTTGGAGCTCAGGGTTTGACTCCATTATGAACTGCTTCGCTCTGTAGCGATGCAAGGCAGTTACATATAAAAACATCTGTCGGGTGTGAAAGGGGAAGAAGGAAGAATGGACGAGAGAGAGAGCGAGAGAGAGAGAGAGAGAGAGCTCAATGAGCCAAGTCGGGATGTTCCCCGTCATGACGACCAGCGGGTCTTGCAGCTGATGGTTAGCTTTGGCGGTCAGCTTACGGTTGATGAACTCACTGGTAGGCATGATTTCCTTACAGACAGCATTCTGCAAAACAACCAGAAATATTACATATCTTCATGTTACTTCCACAAACGCACAACAAAGTGACTACAAGTCACTGCCTTCCTCGTGTGATTCTTCAGGACAGAGACTTGCGTCGTACAAGTAGAACCAGTATCTACTGATGGAGTGCAGGACCCTCAGCAGCAGTTTGACCTCTAAAGAAGGATTATCAAAGGTTATGGTCTCTGGACGCTCCAACGTGAGGTATGTTTCTAAGGGGTTAACGACACTGGGACACAAGCCATCAGGAAGAGACAGGAATTAACAGGAGTAAAGATTCAGACAAACGATCAGAAGCTGTGTGATCAAAACGTGCTTCCTTCACTACGAGATATTTAGGGTCCCACCATGCCACAGCTCATCCTGCATCTTGGCGTTGCGAGGCGAGGTTTTGGTGCGAGCACTCTGTGCTTGACCGCTCCTTCCAGCCACAGCGTCTTTGCTAGGAAGTAAGAAGGGACGTTATGTCTCTGAGCGCTTTGACGAGCATGTGACTCTCGGTATGAACATGTCAAGGAGGAAATGCACTGAGGCCAATAAGCATTTGCAATTCCAACTGTTGGCGAGTATACTGTATGTGTTAATCACCTACTGTGTACTCCCCACTGCACTGTAGAGTGTATATCAAAATAAATTGAAATAAATCTGCATGGCGAGGCACCACTAGCGTAAATGATGCGATACATTGTTTATATTTCTCTGACCCTTCAAGGACTGGCTAATGACATTCAGAAAACAAATCCTTGCTCTTCTGTTTTAAAAGTGGCGGTGAAGGTTAAGAAAGTTGGAAGATGCAAAACAGACACATTTAGAGGCAGAAGACATCGTCAAAGATGCATTTAAAAACACTTTTTAAACATATATCAAACCATACATTTTGGGCAAATCATGGCGCTTTACTCGGCACTTTGATGGGGAACTGCTTAACATGGCTCAGGTAGCTGTTCATGTTGTGCACCAGTGCCAGGTACGGGCCGTTCTCTGTCGGGTCCAGAAGACCTATAGGCTCCATTCCTTGAACCTGCAAACCAAACGAGAGAGGACCAAAATCAAATTCTGAATATCTAGACTGCCAAAGTCCATGAAACTCTTTAAAATGTATTCTAGTTCCTCACCGGACAGCCAGAGAACACATGGAGGAACCTCTTGAGCTGCACGTCGCGGCTCAGCAAGTCCCTGTCGGTGTTGGAGGTGAGGTAGACCAGGAGCTGTTTCACCAGCCCGCTGTGCTCGATCTCAAAAGACGACAAGTCAGATACAGTACTGGATATCTCCACCAGGCACTCCAAACCACCGTCAACCTGGGAAAACAAGACGAATCGTCAGATAAATGTGTCAGTGCTGGCGTCATTAGTATCCATCTCTCTCTTAGGATTTCTATCAGGTTTAACAATTTCAACTTAAAGGACAACATCTAAAACAACCATACATATCCTTAAGTTTGTAGTGAATGTTATTATCTTGTGCGTGGATGTGTTACCTGCAGGTTGAGCTGCTCAGTGGCTGTGCAAAGTCTCTGGAGTACATTCAGTGGAGGGTTGCTGCCATCCACATTTTCAGCGTTGAAGTAGCTCTCCACAAACGTACTCGCCTGTTTTTTGATCCAGGCTTTTATTTTGTCTCTACAAACCCAAAAACAATTCACCGATTACATACAGTAAACACATATTACCCTCATAATCACTGGCACTTAACACTGCAAGAAAAAGAGCACAATTTGAACTAGAATAAAACTAAAATTGCAAAAAGCTTAATAATTCAAAATGTTGAAAGATTACAAATATGAAGTCATATGTAGCTGAAAGTATGAGAAGAAGAAGGCTTTGAAAGTTGAAGAAGTTTAACAGTATTTGAAGATTTTCTCCATAGAGATCCCATTCAAAAGAAAATTGCAAATAGCTTAATATTTCAAAGAATTTAAAGATTACAAATATGAAGTCATTTCACCCCTCTCCTGAAAGAGCTGAACATTTTGATATTCGAATTGTTTCTGTGGCTTAAACAATGTCAGCAGTAGTGATATTTGTAATGGTAGTACTAGAAGTTATCGTTGTAGTAGAAGTATTATTAGTAGTAGAAGTATTAGTAGCATTAGAATAAGTAGTAGTAGTAGCAATAGTGATATTTGTAATAGTAGTAGAAGTTGTAGTTGTAGTAGAAGTATTAGTATTTAGAAGAAGTAGTAGAAGTAGTAGTAGTAGTAGTAATAGCTGTAGTAGTGGTCGTAGTATTTAATATAACAACAGTAGTAGTAATAGTAATGGCAGTATTTGAAGTAGCAGTAATAGTAGTAGTAGTACTAGCAGTCGTACAAATAGCTGTAGTAATATTAGTACTGGTAGTAGCATGAATAGCAGTTCTAGTATAAGTAATAGTAATAGTAGTAGTGGTAGTAACAGCAGTAGTGGTAGTAATAATATTGATGGTGGCAGTAATAGCAGTAGTAGTAATAGTAGGTACAGCAAAAGTTGTAGTGTAAGTAGTAGTAGTAGTAGCAGCAGTATTAGTAATACTAGAAATATTAGCAGCAGTAGTAGTAATTGTCGCAGTATTAGTAAGAGCATTCATTATTTCAACAAAAAAGCCTAATTTTGAGCTTAATGTATAGTTAATCCATGAGGCTTTTATTTTGAAAGGGTGGGACTGGGTGGGGGAGAGAGGGGGAGAGGAGACATAATCGTAATGTTTGACACACATAAACAGTTTATTAAATGACAGGCTTCATCACAAGCATTTCAGTTAGAATTAACTCTTTGGGGCTTTTATTTTGAAATGGGGTGGGGGGGGAAGGGAAGACGATGCAGAATCATAATGTTAGATAAACATAAACAGGTTATTAAATGACAGGCTTCATCACAAGCATTTCAGTTAGAATTCATGTTGTGGGGCTTTTATTTTAAAATGGGGTGGGGGGGGGGGGGGGCCTGTAAAAAGCTGTAAGACCTGAATTACAGAGAGAGAGACACACAGAGAGAGAGAGACACACGGAGAGAGAGAGAGAGGGAGAGGGAGAGAGAGAGACATACAGAGAGAGAGAGAGAGGAGTGCGTGTGTGTCTGTGAGTCTGTGTTTATCAACATCACTAATGACCTTAATCAGAAACACCTGTGTCCTTTCAGCCTTTTCATGGAGATAAAACAGGGAAACACCTCTCAAACAAATCCTCAAAACTCACATAACCGTAGCTCCTATTGCTCCGATATTAATAAATGAGAGGAAGGATGAGTTGAAGAACAGATCCTGTAAAAATTGTGTCTGTAGTGTAAAAAATGTGGCTGAACTGGCGATCTAGAAATGGGGTACCGTGTTCTGTGGAAGATGTATTTGAAGCAAAATTTAACATTGGTCTCTATGGAGCAGAAAGTTGGTTTTCCTCTCAATTACAGGCTTCTGTGTCAAATGTGTAAATCTGTGGGATTCCACAGTCATTTGTCTACGACAAGGACAAGATTAGCTACTTTTAAATCCAGAAATTATGCATGAAGAGTGAAGATTGTGGACACAGTGGCAAAAGACAAATCTTTTTTTCACAAGAATCTCAAGCTGCTCTTCACTCTAACGGTGACATCACGCACTCTAAGCTCCGCAATACACACCCATTATAAAGTCAGAAAAGGACTTAAAAAGTCATAAAAGTTAAATTGCTGCAGTTCAACAAGTCTAAAAGATATCAAAAAGCTGAATCATGTGGCAATAGCTCAGGGTTTTCTCAACATTTTAAAGTTGAAATGGTGTCTGTAGCTGAAAGTATGAGGAAGTAGAAGGATTTGAAAGTTGAAGAGGATTTGAACATTTTCTCCATAGAAACCCATTCAAAAATAAATGTGCAAAAAGCTTAATAATTCAAAAAGTCTAAAGGTTAGAAATATGAAAAGTCATAGCACCCCTCTGCTGAAAGAGCTGAACATTTTGATAGTTGAACGGTTTCTGTAGCTTAAAAAATGTGGAAGGAGATAAGTAGCAAAATACGGGCGGAAGAAATATAAGAAGTTTAATAAAGAGAAACAGGATAACAATAGTTGGAATGCTTAACAGCATTCCAGCAATAAAGAGAAACAGGATAACAATTGTTGGAATGCTTAACAGCATTCCAACAATAACACTGGAGTGGAAACTGTCATCATCGTACCTGTTATTAGAAATTGAGTCCTTGGGCGAGCTAGTGACTCGAAAGCTCTCCGAATCGGACAGGTTCACCTGGTGCATCAGACCTGGAAGAGAAAGCAGAGGGACAGAAATTGTATAAATCCTTCAAAACAATAGCACAATACACAGCAACACAGTGTTTGCCTTAGGATGGAGTTGTAGCAGCGGAGGTGAGTCTTCTGCACCTTCAAAGCATGTTTGTCATGTATCTGTAACTAATGTAATGTATAGGATAGGCATTTGAGTTTTTCATTGGATTATACGCTACCTTCTCTTCTACAAGAGACAATGAAGACATCCGGCAGCTTCTGCATCAGGATCTCAGCCATCTGAAGAGAACCCACTACAATCTTCAGGTCCTGGCTGGATAGCATGGAGACAATGTGACTGTAGTAATAAAAAATATAGATTGAAGTCAAGTTACTTTCAACTCAAAGACTTACACCAGTAATTTCCTAGTGCCTTAGAAATACTACAAGGTTATTAACTTCATTTAAGGCAACCTTCTGAGCATGTTTTAATGTCAATGTTAACAGTAATCCATCAGTGAACGGATACCTGGACACGGCATGGTTCCTCAGCACATCCTTCAGCAGCTCTGCGTCAGCAAAGTAGATGATCTGAGCATTGTTCTAAGGCACTTGTGTCTGACAGCAAGGCCGGCCAACGAGCTGTACACCTCATACAAGACCCCAAACAGGGTTTCGATAAAGCGCTTTGCCAGCTCAGGGTCCTCCTCCATCGACTGGGCTCGTGCATCCTCTGGAGAAAGACAGCGAACAGGTCAGGCTCATCTCCTCAACCACACAGAATTTGGTGACACAATTCCACTGACTTGCACGCAGTAAATGTATGGTGATTATAAAACATCATGATCATAAAATCACAACTAATTACTGTAATTAACAATGCATTCCTCTTATTTTATCACATACTGCTATGCACTGTCATCTTCACACAAATGCTATTTGAAAAGGTCTGTATTACCTGTATCGGGGTTGGCAAGAGGATAGGGTTTCCTCTGGATACCAAGTGCTTTTCCTGTGTCTACATTAATCTGCTGCATAGACTTCAGGTTGAAAGTGCTCACACAGTCCCGGTTTGACAAGCTGATCTCATCCTCCCCGCTCTGGTGTGCTGTCTGCAGAGCAAGGTAATCACCACCCAACATCAGTTTTCCACACGGGGAAGCCCCAAATATCTGTGTGTGTAAATGTATTGAGAGAGGATGACGCACTGTAAATAAGACTGGATGTTGTCAAGTAGTGTGATGCAACATTTTAATTGATTAAATCCATTATTCATCAGTCAGATAATTAACTTGTAATGTGACGAGGTCCAGAATGACTGACCAAAAATACTGATGATGATTGAAATACAACATATCACTATGTATATCTCCAGTTATTATGATTTCATATTATTAATACAGAATGTGGGTGATGCACTCATACCTCAATGCTACGGCTAACAATGCAGTTGTAATTTTGCCACAATCCAAGGTCATCCCTCCACTGCCAGATCGCTCCATCCGTCGTCTTCAGCATCAAATCCAGTGCAAAGATGCCCTCTCTGGGCAGGCAGGGCATCAGCTCGCTGGAAGAAGAAGAGCGGTTTGAGAAGGCTACGACATTTTATCTAATTCAGTTTAACCGTCATGCAAATTGCTATATTTTTGCCGTATTGCCCTGCATGATCTTAACCCTTAACATACTGAAAAGAAGTCAGGCTAATAGATGTTACCATATGAGTGAGGTGAGTTCAAAAAGCTCCTCCGGGCTCCGGGGTACCAGGTTAATATGTTCCTTGCAGGACCTCTTTGATGCACCACACAAAAGGAAACGTAGAGTTTCTATGACGTCTGTGAGAAAAAGGAAACATCAAAAATATGTCTGTATAACCTGCATAATATATCTCATTAAGTATGTCAAGTCTAAACATTACAATAACAAACTACATACTGTAGTACTATTCAATATTTAACATTAAACTGGCTGACAGTCCACTGATGTGAAGACACACGCTGCAAGTAATAGGGGGGCTGTTGTAACAAAATGTCAACTGTTTGGAGACCCTTCACTTAATAAGGCTCAACCATTTATTTTTTAACCTACAATTGACGTTCATTTTTAGTTAATTCAAATGCCAGCTCCGTTTGTCTGTGTAAAACATACCAGTGATGAAGCAAGTTGACTGCAGAGGGAGCGGTCAAAGACACTTTCAAAGGTGTTTGAATAATTCTTATTGTCTCTACCAGAGGATTTGTTGTCATTTTAAATGAATGTTTTTGTGACAGCAGTAATGTCCCCCTGCAGAGACAGTCATAGAATCTCTTTTTCAAATATTAAAGATTTGCTTGTCAGAGATGACACTCTGGGGTTGATGTCCTCTGATTGTCCCTCTGTGATGATGTCCATTGTCCACACGTCCTCCTCCCTCTGAACCCGGTTCATTGATCTTAAATGTCCGCCTCTATTGTACGTCCTTTGTCATCGCTTTTCGTGGCTTGCACAGGGTTTGCATGGTTGTTTGTGTGTGTGTGTGTGTGTGTGAGCGACTGAGAGATTGAGGTGTTCGTGCAGCAGTGGCTCAAGGTTAAAGACAAAAGCACTGGAAATGTCTTGGGGGGAGCTAAGTGGAGCGTAAGCCAATGGGAAGTGGAACAGTGGGAGTCGCGAGAATCTCGGTGCCCCCCCCCACAGGAACGAGGAAACGAGAACGAGCCGGTAACCAAGACAAGACTGGGTACTAAAAAAAAAGGGGGTGGAAGAAAAGGTTTAGAGAGACTTATTCAGAAACATGAGGAGAAACTGACTTTAAAATGAAATATTAGACATAAAGAGAAGTAAACAGACTTCATCGTTGTCTTTAAGAATGTCCTGCAGTTTACTAGTGTTGCATACACTTTGATTAGAGTTACCCAGTCAGCATTGATTCAAATAGTTCATGCTTCGGCTCAAAAAAAATGCCAGTGCCACCTCTGTTTTTCTAGAAGTAGAACTGGGGTGGCAGGTTTGCCTCTCTGGAGACTGTGGAAACCGACATGACGGAGGGAGGAAGCTGACTTTGTTTTTGTTTGCTTGCATTTGGGTTTGATTGGACTGGATGTGGGGTGGTGGGGTTTGGGCTGGTACACAGACTTTATTAAAAATCTTTATTGCAGGTTCGTGCAGCACTTTCGCAGGCTGGGAAGTATTGTAGGTGGAGGGAACAGAGAGAAGGTCTCACCTGGCTACATGTGTGGAAGGAAAGAGAGTCCGTTCAGCACTGACTTGGTACTTTTAAAGGTTTAAAGGTCAGAAGACATCTCATCTAGGTTAAAACTGAGGTACACTTGGCTAAGAGAGGGATCTAGATTACATGGTTCAATTTAATTATTATATTTCAATCAGCGGGACTAGTGATTATAGTTATCTTTGGATAACATACCAACTACAGAGTGCTGCAGAAATGAGTCAGAATTTGACTCATTTCTCAAAGTCGATGTGTTTTAGTTTAGATGTCTGAAATAATGTGTTTCACACGAGCTGAATAGATTTTAACGTTTAGTTCTACAATATGAAATAGGTCCTTAAATTAATTTAGAAGCTTCTACATGTCTTAAAAAGAGTGTAAATGAGATGACTAAGCGTCGTCACTAGAACACTAGTCCTCCTGTAGCTTAGTGGTGGAGACGTGAAGTCATGTGACCGTGGTGGAGTTCCTTTATAGACTAACGTTAGCTTTTTACTTTTCACTTCAAGATTATCTTGATGAACAATTTTGTTAAAATATTGCAGATCATAATTTGAAACTGTTAAGTTGCTTGTCTTGTTGCTTGTTTGTTTGTAAAGTCCAAAACAGAAACAAAAAGATATTTAATTAACAATGTTATGAAATTGAGAAAAGCAGCAAAGCCCGACATTAAAGAAGCTGGAAACAGGACATGTTTGCTTATTTTAAATGAGTTGTGGATTGTGAGTATTGCTGTCTAAACCTGCTGTTTATTCTGTTAACGTCGGTGTGATGAGAACTACACATCAACTGTAGTTAACTACTGTTTATCTAAAAAACAATGTATATCTCAGTGTTAAAGTGTCTAGTTGTCGTTTGACCTGCAAAGCATCAAATCAGTGCTCTCTGAATGTGAGAGGGGTTTAATGGACATTGTGGAAGTTTTAGTGTGAATCTCAGCTGATTTAGACTTCCTTCTTGTTTGTGTTTCATTTACACCGACACTCTCAGCTCTCTATCGGCTTTATATCACTGTTCCAATCCTCTTCACAGGCAGAACCCTCCATCTCCTTCCTCCTTTCTTCTCCCACCTTTCTCCCTCGCTGTCACTTTCCAACTGACAGACAAGCAAAGCTAATCCCGCCTCCCCTGGCCCCGCTCCCCTCCAGGCTCAGATTTCTTCGGACATCGATTAAATGAACCGTGCTCACCGAGCCGTCTTAGCCGAGCTTATCCCCTCTCTCAAGCTCTTATATCCCACCTATGTTTAACTCAAGCCAGGCTTAGGAAAAGCCAGAAAAGGGGTCTTGGCTTGTCTCCTCCCTCATAGTTTATCCGGGAGGGTTGCACCGCCGTGTAGAGATTTACCGAGTGTTATCGCAGTTCATGGTTGTGATAAAGAAGTAAAAGCAGTTCAAGTTATTTCAGAAGTACATTTTAAGTATATGTTCAGACCTAGCAGCATTAACTCTCATAGCTCTGTAGACTCGTACCAAAAACAGCTGGAACATGAACTCAGAATAGATTTCTGTTGTTTTCCATATGGAAATATACTTTGTAATTTTCCCCCTCTCTTGGGGATTCTGCATGAGTGTCCTCTGGCAGTTCTTAGCACAAACACCCATCAACATGAGGGCCATGTAATAAGCTCAGCCCTCATCCACATGTATCTCCCGACTGGACATGTGTCCTCTGTCAGTCGCTGTGTGGCTAACCCCTGACCTGCTTTAATTCACCGTCGCTGCTGCTTGAGGCCATCTTGTCCCAGTTTTTTAAGGCCTGAGTCACCGTTATGTCTCTCAGCCGGTGTCCCTGGCTTGTGTGACAATGCACCGCAGAGAATCATTGCTGCCTGATACATCTTTGAAATGAAAAGTGCTTTGACATCATTGCTGTAGAACGTTGTTTGTCAGCATTCTTTCAAGTAAGAGTCGCTGATGTTCTGCATCAGCTAATGGGGATCCAAATAAAACCCTCATCCTTGTAGGGAGAAGTTAAGATAGTGCTGTTAGGGATTTTAAAGATTCACTTCATCCACATTTCTGCACAGCCACAGTGGTATCTAACCACGTAGATAGTTTTTGATTTGTCTGCTGAAATGTTGTTTTGAATGCTAATTTGTGCTATTTAGTGCCATATATAGTAACAGCGTCTCTGTGTAGTCAACAACTGTCAAATCAAATAAAGAAAGTACACATCAATTATATTTTAACAATTATTATTCTCAGTTTTCCAATTTAACTGTATGGATTATAAATAATACGTAGAAATACATAAATAAATGTTCTCTCATTTCAAGTAAAATAATGGCTCCATCTAAAAATAAAAGGGTGAGAGTTAACCCTAACCCTTTTACACATCATTTTTGTAGTTAAACTGTTGAAGTATACGGCTGTGAAAATACGTAACTATAAAGATAGCTACCTAAATACAGTAAATCATCTGAATCTTGGTATAATACTGGCTGCATTTATTGGAGGTTGTTTTAAATGTCTGTTAGATCAAATGTATTAAGAGTCCATTTAGATGTACAGAATTATCACATGGCATTTCTGCTTCTGTTCATAACCACATCTTGGCCAGATGAATGTAATGTCAACCTTTATATTCCAGATGAGATGTTAGCACAGAGCTCACTCACTTTAACTCGCTAAAGGAGGAGACAGGCCGAGGAGAAAGTTTGTTGTTAAAGCAACAGTTTGACTTTGTTAAGTACTGTCTTTGCTCTGTACTGTATTTTGTCTAGGAATACATCATTGCTGTGCTGTGTTGTAAGATTCACAATAAAACAATGAATTCCATTTGGTCGTTGATGAAAAGGTTAGGATGCTTGAAATAAGAAATTCTGACTTTGACAAAGCAGTTTTGTACTTGTCAGTGGTGATCAAACAGCCTTATAATTATGGCAATTCTAGTTTCAAGCATTAACTTGCTCAGAACCAGTAATAAAATCTCAGTAACAAGTTATAATTCCTTATTAAGATAATCAAGGACTGGAACGCTTGAAACAAGTGAAATGCTCGAACATAAAAACTGCCTGGTAAGAAGAAATATCTTGTCAGACAGAAAACAAGCATATATTGCATTGATTTAAGATATTTCATCTTACTTAGATTTTAATTTTTGCAGTGTACTGCTTATCAGTACTCATATGTGTGCCTATCGATACTCCACATGTCATCTTTCTGTGGTGGAAAGTAACTAAGTACATTTACTCAAGTACTGTTCTGATTATTCCAGCCTCCTTTTTACTCCGCTACATTTATTGACAGCCGTATAGTTACTAGTTACTCTGCAGATTCAAATCAATAATACAAAGCATAGTTATTTAATCATGTATTATATGGAGTATTATATGTAATAAAGGGGCCTCTAAATATTTGTAAAACTAATTATTTTGCACCTTTACTTTTTTAAATGCAGGACTCTTACCTGTAACAGAGTATTTCTACGCTGTAGTATTTCTACTTTTACTTTTACTAAAAGTACCTTCTTCACTCATTTGGAACGTTTTAGTATCTGTCAGTGAGGAGTCGCCCCCTGCTGGTCAGTGGAGAGAACTCAAGATTAAGTCACTTCAGCATCAAATCCACTTTTCAGACTCAGCACATGAGAAGTATGAGCGTTAGCTAACCCGGCGTCCTTTTTCACATCATTTAAACAACCTGTTGTCAAATCTGGTATTAAAAACAATAAGTGGTGGTAGTTTGAACTGAAGGAGAAATGGAATATTCATAAATAGTTTCACAGTAAGAACATGCTTTGACTGGTTTCCCCCCGAATCACAGAAAAAGTGTTTCTACATTGATCATTATTGTGAAAACATGCTCGTAGATTTGGAATTTTTTTCTTTGGTATGTTAAAACATAAGGACCCAGAAACTCAAAGCAATGCTAATTTTTCCCAATTTAATAAGAAAAATATGAACAAGTAACAAGTGTTGATAAAAAAGACTGGACATGATTTTTACCTGCAATGAAACCATAAATATGTGTTAAAGGCACTGAATGTAGACACAGTGTTGACACAATAAATGCATAAACCCTTAAATACATATATGAAATAATAAGTATGAAGGATACTCATGAAAACACACCAACCCTGTCTGTGTCTGACACAATAAGACAATTTAATAATCGATTGACAATAGATTCATAAGCACCTAATTTGATAATCGATTGTTAAAGTGTTGTCTGATTATCTTTAAGTTTATTAGTTTTGGTATGAAAAGCATCTGAAGATGGACTTGTGATGGAATTTTTACAGTTTTCTTTTACTGAACAATTAATTAATTAATTGAGAAAATGATCAGCAAAATAATTTTAGTTGCAGTCCTGCTTCTCATATACAATAACACAATAATATGTCTCACTTGTTTTTGGAACTTTTAATTTATAATTTGGTATTCGATAGTGAGAAAGACAGTTCTTTTTTTAAATGTTCGTATATTATAAATGTCATAAAGCTACGGTCGGTAATATTGAGAAACGAGCGAGAGTACGCTACATTTAACGAGTTATTAAACCCAAAAACCCAGTTCAGTGTTGCTGACTCAGCCTCATATTCTTCTTTATTTTTAATTTTATTTATTAATTGCTGCCGGGACGAAAAGCGATTATCAACAAATATAAGTAGAAGTGCATCTTTAAAGTAGCCGATATGTCGAGACCAGAGAACTGAACTCATAATGAATCTGTAAAGAAACACATTAAGTGATGAATGAATCTGATATTCTATATTTTTCTTATGGTCAATAAAACCCATAAAAACAATTGATTTGCTTCCAAGTATTAAAGCTTAATACATCTTATTATTAAATACAATTAAACACTTGATAAAAACTACAGGGACCAGCTGTTTAAGAAACTGAATGTTTGTTACTCGTTCTTAAAGATGTGTTCGGCAACGTGCCACGGACAGATATCTGTTGACATAACGATCAACTCATCACTTAAAGGGTAGCTGTGATACAGTTTGTAGAACTTTTGTCTTTCTGTTTATATTTTAATTTAATTTTCAAGGTTAATTATCATTAATTAAAAGTAAAAGGAGTCTTATTTTGAAAGTCTCTTGGTCGAGTTTGCAGTTTACTTCTCATAAATAATAAAATATTTTGGGGTGAAACAATCTGCAATGTGACGGTTTAGTCGTCAAACCGTAACATTCATAAACAGCTGCGCTAAATATACATATTTTAAAGCATAATATTGAAGATGAAAGATAAATCAGATGAAAGAAGTGAACTATTGTCTGATGCTGCAATAGGTTTACAATCTAAAGATGAATTACACTAAACATTTGAATTGTGACTAAAATTTAACCGAATTAATTGATGAATTACCGTCAAACTGTTGTTCCTGAACGCATCAACTCGTCTCATCGTGGTTAAACAAAACCACAACTTTAAAGTTTGTGGTGAAAATACTTTAAAAAGTACATCATGAAAGTAGCAGAAGAAAAAAAGAATGTAAACTAAGCTGAGAAAATGGTTTTATATCGTTGAAATCAACATGATTTGATTGAAACCAGAAGCACAGAAGAGGATCTCCTCTGTTATAATAAAAAGTCACACGTGTGGAAGATTCAAGAGAAAGAACATCGTTTAAAAACCGCCGCTGGAATCCGCTGTCCATCATTCCACCAACGAGGAATCAGATACAGATATAGACGCTTCTCTTCAGTTTCTGCGAAGTACAAAAGCTTTTCATAATCGTCAGATCCACAAAGATATCCGGTCGGTACAGTGGCTTAAAACTCATTACATAGAAAAATAAAGCACCAAATATATATACACACACACATAAAACCCATAATATACAAAGACACACACGGGGAATGATGCAACAGAAACGAGCAGGAGTTTGTTTTGTGGAAAACTGTCACAGTAGTGTCGCAAGAATCCGACGTTTCACCACAGAAACGTGTGAAATCATCCTCATCGTATATTATTCATTAAATAAAAATAAATAAATAAAAAGAGGCTGTTTTGGTCGAGTGTGATGCCGATTGGTTAACCAGGAAGCAAACAGACCAGAATTACTGAAAAAGGATTTCTACTTTGAATAGTCTCTTCCTCATGCCCACATCTCCTCCCGTCCATCCGTCCGTCCGTCCGTCCGTCCTCATCACCTCGTGAGGTTTAAAACGAAATGTACATATTTACAGGTTCTACACTCGTATGTTTGGTGTTATGAGCCCGGACATGTCGAGCAGCTATTGTGTGACACAATATGGATATAAATAAATGTTAAAAAGACACATTGGCACATGGACGCCAAATGTTGCAGCAGATCTGAGGTCATTATGAAAGAGCGAGAGAGAGTCTGCAGTACAGCGTTTGACCACCAGATGGCACTGAAAGTAGTTTTGTCCCTTTAAAAAAAAAGCACATGATTCTTTCATAACCAGATTTAAGGAATCATCATCATCCAAAAACGTTATGTAAAGATTGATATAGATATATATTGTACAGAGTTTTGATTATTCAAATGCAGTTATTGGTACAAGCCTCTAAAAATCCAGTATTGCTGAATTCACAGCCTTCCAGAGCGACTTCCAGGTGGTGAACATCTTTTCTTTTTTTTCAAGCTTTATCCTTTTAACGGGGAGGACCCCAAACGCACCGTCACTTTCTCACAACCGTCGTACGTAGCACAGCCAACGTAGCAGCATTTTTCGTTTCCCTACTTTGTGCTCAGAGTCTTTAGCTTCTCTTCCTGCTACGAATCCAGACCGCAGACCTCCTTTCTGTCCACGAACCCGTCCGCGGTCAGATCCCCCCCGCCCCCCTCCCTCAGAGACTTGGCGAGGTCGCTCGCGATCGCCAGCGCTCCGCCTTTCAGGAACCTGACAAAGTTCTCGCCGACCAGCGGCCCCATGGCGTACATGCCCGGCCCGTCCGCCGCCACCACCTTGTTGGTGAACGGGTCCACCTCGATCGGGTTCCTCCGGCACGTGATCGGCTCCTCGGGGTAGACGCCGAGCGTGCGCCCGTTGTCGTCACCCAGGAAGGAGAGGTTCGGGTGGGCGCCGATCAGAACCAGCGCCTTGGAGATCTGGACCACGGTCCGCTGGCCGGAGTCAGACTCCAGGACGCACTTCCGGTCGGGTCGGAACGCGGCGACCCTGTAGCGCGGGAAGCTCAGGTAACCCGGGTAGGAGGAAGGAGATGAAGAGGTGGTGGAAGAGGAGAGAGGAGGGAGGGAGGAAGAGCTAGAGGGGTCTTGGAGGTTCTGGGCGTGGTCCTGTGGCAGAGGGTCCGGCTGATACTGCTGCTGAGTCATCATCTGGTGAATCTGGACGCCGAAGATAAAGAAGAGTGGGTTTGATGCAACTTCAGGGATCAACAGTAACGTAAGTAAACTCTGTATTCAGGCAAGTGGAATGCCTCATTAATTAATTAAAATAAAGATGAAATGTGATCTTTATTAAGGGGTAAAAATATGTGATTTGGAGATTCGCCATGTATGCTCTCAAGCCGCCGTTCCTTCATAAAGCCACATTGTGAACAAAAAATCCGTTGAAATCGGGAAGACGAAAGCTAAATAACGGAGCTAACAGCATAGCAACATTTGGAAACAAATAATTTAAAATCAGACTCTTAGAAATATTATATCGTAAATCATTCACATGCTCTTCTGCAGACTACGGCGTCTCTCGGGAGTCGACAATTAACGTCAACGGAGGTTCCATTCACTTACATTGTGGTGCGTTCAAGCTCCAAATAGTAAAAAATGAGTATTGGGCGAAGGTAACGTTGTATGACGTTATCATGATGTGTTCAAATGTCATTTTGTAAAAGTTAATTTTTGGCGAGACACTTTAATAAATACAGTTATTTGAAGTAAAAAGAAAACATTTAGAATTTTTACTCTGTAGTGGCTGGAAAAGTTTAAAAGAGACCTTAAAAAGTCGAGTTTTTCTTTTTAAAAACAGGAAAAAAATAGTTTTAAGATTGAAATTAATCTCCAATAATCTGGATCATGACTGGTTCACGTTGAATACTTGACATTAAATGTCGGTTTCCTTACCTTGTGGTACTCTGGGTAGAGCAGCTTGGGCAGCTGGTTGAAGATGAGTCCGGGGTCGTTGACCGAGCGTCTGAAGGCGTGGTACACCGGCGTGTTCAGGTGGTGGGCGGCTAGCACCGCGTCTGCCGCCGTAAGCCCCGCCCCCACCACCAGCACGGGGTCCGACGATTTGTCGAGCTCGCCGCGGGAGATGGCCGCCTCTAGCTCCCAGAAGGAGTGACAGACGTACGGCAGCGACTCGCCCTCCACGCCGAGCCGGGCCGGGATGTCGTGGGTGCCCGTCGCCAGAACCACGTTGTGGGCCAACATGGAGAAAGGCACCTCCTCCGACACAGCGGAGCCATCTAGGGAGGAGGAAGGAAGGAGAGGAAACAGGAAGTGAAGGTTAACATGTGGCACTCGTTCATTTATTAAAACACGCTATAATCAGGAGTGTTGATTTTAATTATTATTTTTATTCGCTGTACCTCCTAGCTCCTCCCCCTCTCTGCGCTGCAGTCCCGTCACTCTCCAGCAGGGCGACGGCGCCCCCTCCCGGTCACCGCCGGGCTGTCTGGTGACCGAGGTGACGGTGGTGCCGCAGGCAAAGTTCTGCTCGAGGGACATCTGGGAAACGTAGTGTTGGTAGTACGAGGCTATCTCTGCTGGTGTGGCGCGGTCATTACGGACATTTCTGGAAAAAAATAATAATATATTAAAAAAAAATGATATTATATTAATATACATACACAAATGTATTATACAACATGCTAATTTTTCTCATATTTTGACTAGTTTTCAAGGAGTATATTTCAAATTGCATCTATTAGACACATGAGAATAAAGTTGTGAACACCGGCTGAATATCTATTATCAGAATCATCATAACTGTATTTTAACTGCTACTGTGTAAAGGAAATGCTGTTAAAAAGAACCTGATTTGTTTAAAGTGTTGCACTTTTGTTCATATAGCAGTACTTTTAAAATAAAAGTGCTCAATACACTACTTTTGAATTCATTATTGAATTTTGAGCATGACAATGCGAATAAAAATTGTAATCGTTGCATATATATATATATATATATATATACACATATACATATATACATATACATATACACACATACATACATACATACATACATACATACATACATACATACATAGAGCTGAACAGGAAGTTTAAAGGTTCTTCAAATCATTTGTTTGTTTTGACAGCATCTGATGTAAATCACCCGGGAGTCATTTTAAATACAAAGTAAGGAAGAGTCACGCATGAACACACTCTTCGTGTTGTACTTCCTGCTGGTTTAATGAAAGAGAACTTTCATGATTTTAAAAAGAGAAACTAAACTCTGTTCACCTGTGAAAACCAACATACGTTTTAGAAACTGTGAACGAGCCTCTCTGCACTAAAAGAAGACCAGGAAACGTGTGACGACTGTAAGTCCTGAGTGTTTTATTAACCCTGTTGTGTATTTAAACACACGAGCAGTAATGCGAGTCAACTGTACTGTTTACTGAGGACAAACCTGCGTTTCTCTCTCATCCAGTCCTTCAGTTTGAGTCCAGGAAGCTCCATCCAGTTAGCCAGACTGAGGGTTAGCATGGAGCCCTCCATAGCCTGGGAACAACAACAACAACAACAACAACAACAACAACAACAATCACTCAGCTGGATTGATCTGCTGTGTTGTTTTCAAGGTATTCTGGTAACATTTTTAAAAGTTTCAGTTGCTGTTCTTCTGTTTATTTAAATGCATCATGAGCAGACTGCAGCGTTAGTTTAATGGGTTTATTAACATGTCAGGATATTTATAGAAAGATAAAAGTAATACTACGTGCGAGTAAGTACACATTATCAAAACAACCATTTAAAAACAGACTATTGAGTATATAAAAAAAAAAAAAAAAAAAAAAGAAACTCACTAAAACGTATTCTTTCTTCTGAACACATTTATTTTTCCCAAATGTAAAATATTCTGTTGAAATTCTTAAAATGACACTTAAAATGTAAGTGCAAAATGCATGCTTTTATTATTTATCTAAATAATAATTATAAATATTATTATAATGATATACTGTGTATATTTTTAAATAATACAATATTATAAATGACTATACATATTTTTTATCTAAATTATTATTTATCTAAATAACCCGTATTGCAGCTCTACTTACATGCCACGCCCCTCCAGGCGGACCCTTTCCCAGCACCAGGTGCGGTACGGCCCTCTCCGGCTCGTACCGCCACGCCAGCGGAGACGTGTGGTCCAGCCCGAAGTCGCTGTCGGGGAGCAGCAGCGAGTCGAAGAGCACGGCCACGGGATTGGACGAGCGGCCCTCCAGACCCTCGCACAGGTACTCCAGATCCTGGGACAGGTAGGGTCAAGAGAGACACCGTGAGTGTGAGGCTCCTCCCCATTTTACACACGTTTATGATACAACTTTATTGACAAATGTCACGCGTGTTTGTGCATGTACCTGCTCCAGCAGCGACAGGTGAGGCTGCTCCCTCAGCTTGCTGTTCAGCAGCGGGTTGGTGCGAGACGCCTCGGGCGACAGGTACGGCGTGTAACCCGACAGCAGGTATGACAGACAGATCCCCGACGGGCCGTTACCTTAGGAAACAGGTGAGCGTCACCGAGACTGTCAGGTCGCTGCAGTGGAAGCGATGTGAATGGTTTCCAGTTGCACTGGCAACTGCTAGCTGTGTTAGTGCGTGCAATTGGGGGGGGGCGGGGGTGTTTATGATCTGTCTTCTGCATTTTATAAATAAAACAGCTACTTTAGAAAAGACAAAACAGCTAAAATACTATTGCACGCTGTCATAAAAACTGGCTGGGACTGCAGCATGACTCAGCAAGTTTTGAATGCCACACAGTAACCCGTACGAGCAGCCATTAGTCATCATACTGCTCATGATGTCTAATGGTTTTCACACAGTCCGTCACAAATAACTGAATAAATTCTGACCTCAATCGCACAAAAACTGAATATTTGAGGATTTCTATCTTAAATTTGTCAAAACTAAAACATTCATCATCTCTCTGCTGGGAAACTTTCGCGCAACACCGCATGCGGCTGATGTCAACAATTTCTAAGGATGTTGTATGTTGTATTTAGCAACCCGTGCGTGTTCAGCAACCTGTTGCTTAAGTTGAAATAACTTGCATGAAACACTCCTCGCTCACTTCTTCATTTTAATATTTTTGGCAGATCAATACGACATTTGGCAAAATTTGCTCTTATTTG